AAAAGAAATTTCCCATTTTTTGAGGGATTTTTTTGGATTAAAAAGAAAAAATAAAAATAAAAGCCCTCCCCAAAAAAAAAAAAAAAAAAGCAAGGGTAGGTAAAGCAAATGGCATTCTGGATTGAAAAGGGGTAGTAAAGTTAATGGTGGGCCAGGGTGGTATTGAACACTTGGGTGGCAGAGGCAGGTGGATCTCTGTGAATTCAGGCCAACCCAGTCTACACAGTGAGTTCCAGGACAGCCAGGAACACACAATGAGATCCTGTCTCAAAACACAAATACACACACATACACCTATATGCAGAATCTGAGGAGGTAACAAGACCCAAGGAGGGCTGTAAACTACAGTGTGTGGGAGCACATTTACAGCATGAGGGGAAGAGAGCATGAAGAGAGAAGTGAACCTTCTAGGAAACAGAATTGGGCGGAAAGCAGGGGTGGAAGGCAAGGGCTGATGGTGTCTGCCTTGCAAATGTTACTCCATCTGAGATGATTGATGGGGACTTACAGTTCTTCAGTCCTGTCATTCCTCTTGCCTATTCTATTAAGTATTGTTTTCCAGTGGTCCAGTTTTAGTCACGTGTGACACCCATTTACTAAGCACTAAGCCATGGGTCCCAGTAGATAGCCAGCCCTGGCTCCAGGTGAGACCTAGGCTCACACAGCAGAACCATCTTGTTCAGTTTCCCCTCTGCCAGTGACTGCTGATGGTAGTTAATAGCCGAGCACATACCATGTGCCCAGAGCTCTGGCAACATTTTACAAAAAGATTACCCAATTAAAGGTGAGAAAACCAAGACTCAAAGAAGTGCCCCAACTTACTCAGGATCGCGGATAGTGAATGGCTGGTCAGAGTCAGAGCCCATACCTGTTGGCCTACATGTGTCTTGATTATATCAAGTCAGTTTCAGGCATTGCCTATCTGCTGGGGGCATCCCCAGATTATCTTCAGCCACTTGCTATGAAGACCAGGCTGGCCTTGAACTGTCCCCCAAGTTTCAGATACCTCCTCAATGTCCCATGGACATCTGTGATATAGCACGCCTTCTCTCAGTTGTCATGGACCAGCCTGGCCCCACAGATCCCTCCTGCAGTCCTGATGGTTTTACTTCCTGAATATATTTAGACTCCTCTGTCCCAATGGCTGGGTCTTCAGGACTTTGTCCTCTTTTTGCCCAGATGACTCTATAGCCTGTCTTATCCTGTCTTATCCTTTCCAAATTTGCCTCTCTGCTGTAAACAAATGGATATATCAAATCTGGGAATCCCAGCATCCATCCTCCAGTGAAGCCCATCAGGATGGCTGTCACTTGCAGAATAAACCCCAAGCATCTCGATGCTGCTGGCAGGGCTGGCTGTGGTCCATTTGTGAGCTCCTGCTCTCCCATATCAGGCTAGAGGCTGCTAGTCTTCACCCTGCCAGCTTTCTTGAAGCAACTGAGGTCCTCACAGGCTCTTTGCCCTTCTGAAACGCTCCTCTGCTTGGTTCCTTTCCTGGCCCCTAGTCTGTGTTCTGTTCTAACCTAGGCATGTGCTCTGTGGTTAAGCTTACGATTCTGTCTCCCTGCACTCCCTGCACTCACCGCACTGAGTCTTCCTTGCTGCTAGAGATCCTGTTTTACTGGGTGTGCCTAGAATAAGATTTGCCCACAGTCTGGCCAGTCAACATTTGTGGAACAGGTGTATGTTCAGTTAGATGTCTGCCCTTCCTGATCCCCTCCCATGTGTTACAGGACCTTGCTCCTGGATGAATCTTTGGCCTTGTTTCCCACATTCATTCTCCTTCTCAGGCTTCCCTGGCTAGAATAATACACAAACACTTACTGTGTACCCGATTCCCCTGACTCAGTCCCACTGTCTATACATATAGCAAGTATGCCTCTGCCTCAGGGCCTTTCAACTTACAGTTCTGACCCTCAGTGTTCCCACCCTCAATGGACTCAAGTCTCCATTTCTCTTTTAGAAATGCCTTCGCTGATGTCCATAAGTACAATTGCCCTTTCTTTCAAATATTTTGTAATACTTTAGCCTGGCCTAGGTCCGAGGACGTAGCTCAGTGGTAGAGTGCTTGCCTGACTTGTGCAAGACGCAGAGTTCGTTTGATCCCAGTGCTACAAAACACAGAGCCTCTCTACCTTGTTTCCTTTTCTTCACTGATCACTCTTTGGCAGTGATTCCATAGGTTTGTTGGGAGATGGTCTTGCCATGTAGCCCACACAGACTGCAAACTCGAACTCCTCCTGCCTCACCCCCTTAAATGCTAGGAGGCTTTTTAATTAAATTTTACCTATTGATTTGTTTGTTTATTGATTCTCCCCACTTGGAGAATTTCCGGTTCCTGGGAGTAGTGTTTCTGTTTTCCTCCCTGCTGAGTCACCAGGAACAGAGCTAGGTGTCCATAGCTGTTGGTTGTAGAGTTGAATGACTAGTTGTTGGCCTACAGGAACAGCGTCTAATGAAATCAGGGAATGCTTCCTGGAGGAAGGGATACCTGCATGGGACTCGGAAGGACAGAGTCATTAACCGGGTGGTTGAGGCGCATACCCTGCAGAGAAAGCAGAGTATAGAAAGGCCCAGGAGTGGAAGCAACTGGCAAGTGACAGGTATCCAGCTGACCTGGAGATGACATGCTAGGGAGAAGGAGGCAAGGGCCGGGCTAAAGCATTTGGATTGGTCAGGGTGGTGATAACTGGCTCAATGGAGGAGTGGGGAAGGAGAGAATGGAAGGAGGAGTTCTGCTAACTTAGGAACCCGGAGTAAGTTGAGGACAAATTGCTTTCTGCCTGAAAGGTTTCAGCGGAGATAGATGGAGAGGGAAATGATTTTAGAGATGTGCCTCACAGGTTGGGGAAGCAGCTGTGTAGCTGTTTTCTCTTTGACGTGGACACTAATGGAGCTGCTACTACGAGCTCCGGCCTGGTGGCTGGCCAGCCTGCTGAGAAGCACTTGTGGGCTCCAGATGGTTAAAGATGAAAAAGTTGCTCCCGGAATGGATGGAGGGATGTTCCTGACCCTCTAAGTTACCTGTGAATCTGGGGTTCTCAGTCTAAACCATGTGTTCAGTTTCTAGAGGAACCATACCATTAGGATCCACTCCAGAAGCGTGTTGATCCTTTCCCAGTGGTTAAATCAAAGTTTTAAGTCCTGGTCATTTGGGTAGGGACCAAGTCTCCTTATTTTCACTCATTGAGTCAACAGCAAATGTGTCTTCTGTATGCCAAGAGCTAGCGTGGCACTGGGAAACAGCTATGAATGAAATGTAATTTCCACTTGAGGGGCTCTTAGTCCAGTGAGGACACATAAATAAATAGTTACAATGTGGAATATGGGCTGTTTACCATAGACATTTGTTTGAAATATTGAGGAGGTGGGAGTGGGAGTGATTAGCTACTCTCTCAGGGGAGGAAAGGGTCCCAGAAGAGTCCATCTCTGCAGCAAGGCTGGAAGCGCAAGTAGGCATCTTGGCAGAGTGTGATGGTCCAGTCAGTACTGTGAGGTGTGTGGCTGATTTCAGTGCAGGCAGATACAAGGGCACCTGCAACGTCAGATTTGTGGAAAACTATGCAAAAGTGCCTCCGGGGTCATAAGGCCTCAGCCAATTGCTCCTCGGTTGTGGGTGACCTGAGATGGTTTTAAGGAGTTAGTCAAAATAAAATGGACCTTATGGAACTAGATAAAGAGAAACAAGCTTTGAAAAATGCTCAACAATTTAAGGCCTAGAGAAGAAAACAAAACAAAACAACTTCAGATTCAGCAAATTGGAGATCCTTTTTTTTTTTTTTTTTTTTGACAAATGAAGTTTAGAGTTGCCCAAACAGATATCATTAGGAGTTCCCAGTTTGAAAAATAACAGAAGGCCAGGATAATTCATTTACCAAGTTCAGTGGTGACGGGACAGGCAGCTGGCCTTTTTTCATTTATAGAATATCAGGTTCTTAAACTGGGAGCTGTCAACCTTGGTTTTCTTCTGTGGCCGCCTCAGGCCTCCAAGCTTCACTCTGAGATGGGCAATGTGTTTCTGATGCGTTTATTGCAGCCACGTGGGACGAGGGCTCAGTCTGTTACTGCTCATTATTGCCATCAGAAGGTATCAGTCTATCCAGGAGAACAAGCCTGGGAGCTTCCAGTGGGGCAGGGGACACAGCCTTAGTGTCAGAGGAGAGATAACTTGACTGGATGACATGGTGTTTCCTTTCAAATTTCCCCAGACCATGTAGTTGCTGTCAGGGTTGGACTTATCCTTAGGCTAGGTAGGTTGATCTGGTAGGACTTATCTGTAGACTGGGTAGGTTGATCTGGTAGGACTTATCCGTAGGCTGGGTAGGTCTAAGAGAAGCATGATGTCCAAGCGATGCTACCTTTCCATGTTGTCAAAAATCACTCATTTGGTCAGGTGGTGGTGGTACACACCTTTAATCCCAGCACTCAGGAGGCAGATCTCTGTGAGTTCAAGTCCAGCCTGGTGATCTACAAGAGCTAGTTCCAGATCAGGCTCCAAAGCTACACAGAGAAACCCTGCCATGAAAAACCAAAACAAAACAAAACAAAAATCACTCATTTGGTAATAGCTGCTGAGTTCTTATGTGCTAGGTGCAGAGGTCATGGGGTAAATATGACAGTCTCTTTTTTTAGGGACAGACAGTAAATCTTTTACACTCTGTCATACCCACTGTCTCCTGTGACTGAGGTATCAAGGCAGCCATAGAAAATGTGTAAATGAATGTACATAGTGGTATTCCAACAACTTTATTTATA